ACACTGATAAAAAAATTTATTAATTTTTAATAAATTTATTATTCATTTAGTGCTTGGTATAAGTTACATTTTTTAAACTTTTAATAAATAAAATATATATATATATATTAATTATAATTATCAACAAATCAGTATGATAATGAAACATATTTTTTGTGTTTTATTAAAAAAAATTTTCACTGCATTTTATAGTAATAAGTTTTTTTAAATTTTAATTTCGTATTCGAGATTGAAGAATCAAATAAATATTATTAATTTAAATTCCTGCATAAAAACATTCGGAATTCTGTAAATGATATTGAAAAAAATATTCCTTAAATTATTTGATTTTGGTAGAGTATATTTTATCGTGTTCCACTGGGTAAATAAATAAATAAATAAATAAATAAATAATTAATTTTATAGTTTTAACTCATATTTAATATAAGTAAAGCGTATATAATATTAAGTACTGTATACCGTCTAGTGATTTGTCACAAACTTTTGTGTCGTGTACCAGAATATAATGGAGAAAAATCAATGCAAGTATTACTCGGAATTGACGGTATTTGGTGCGTTATATTTTTTGATAAAGCCCGAGAGCGAGGGTCCAAGTCCCTATATATCGGGAGTTATCGAATATCGAAGTGATCCTTAGGTTTTTATACTCACAACGGGAATAAAGCATCCGGCATAGTATATAGAGTAATAGAGTACAGAGTATGGGAATTCTGAAAAAAACCAGTCAGACAATACAATGCCCCCGGGTATAAAGAATTTGATCGAGCGCGGTACATTATTTTTCTTTTATTATTTATTCCGTATCTTAAATATATAATAAATACATTGATATTTTATATTAATTTTAATTATTAACGGCCAGGGTTATGTTTCTTTGTTTGCCGGTATTGTTATCTATTATAGAATCAAAGAAACCATTAAACTTAATTCCTCGTCTTAGTCTCGGTGAATAGGAGGAACTCTGTTAGAGATGTATTTATATTATGTATCTTATACGAGAATAAAAGAGGTGAGGATGTGGTCCATGCGTTACTAAACAAGAGAAACACCTCATGTTCATGCTCGAGTAATTTAAGCTGCGGTGACAACTCTAGAGTAAAGTAAGACGCAAAAAAAGAAAGGACCGCGTTATTCGACGCCGGTCCTCCAATCAGTTAACTTCCTGTTTAATATGTCTATAAAGAGTATACAACCTTACCACACCTATTCCCTGTTTTTTTCCGTTTATTAACTGATTTAAAATTTTTTTTCTACTCTTATATGTTTTAGTTTATTGTAAAATTATAAAGGCGGATAATCAAAATTTATATTAGGATTAGTTAAAATTAAAGATGTAGTATACTGTATACCGCGAGGGAACAAAGGGGGTTCTTCGATTTTCATCAGTAGCATTTATTTTGAATTTTTTTTAATAAATAAATAATAAACCGCGGTCTAGTATGAATGCTTGATAAAATTTTTATTTATAATATAAAAAGACCGCAATATTGAATAAAAAATATAAAAAAAAAAAAATAGCATTGTTATAATTTGAGTTAAATGTTAAGTGTACTGTGATAATCATTAAGTGACACAGTAGTATTATTATATGTATATTATTCAATTAAAATGACTTTGGTAGTACGATACAGTTGTTTTATGGAATCGTACGTGACCAATGTATTCATAACTTATGATATGAGAACGTGTAATCAGATAATATTGAGAACACTTGAATTAATAATAATATATACAAAAATGTTAAGCTACACTGATAGAAAAACAATCTTGATTCAAGAAACTTTTTTTCTTCAAAACTTGAACTCTTGAAACTAGATATAGATATATTTCTTTCAAGAATTTTTGTCTCTTGGTTCAAGATAGGCGATAACATTGATTTAAGATGTTACCGACTTGTGTTAAGAATGGCTTTTTTTTTGAGTCATTAATTAATTTACTTATTTCTAAGAAATAATTTTTTTTTGGTATAACAGTTAAAGACTATTTTAGTTTTTGAATTATACTTTGATGAATTATTTCAAGTTTTTTAACTTAAACGATAATGTTATTTTGATTGAAAAACTTAAATGTATCAATTGAAGATAATATAGCTCTTGAGCCAAGAAAATCTAAATCAAGACAAGAAATTCTTAGAGCAAAATAATCATTTGTCTTACAAAATAAATTTTTAGATCAAAAAAATATCTCTTGAGTCAACATAAATTTTCTATCAGTGTAGCTTTGAATAAATATTAATTAGTTTTATTGAAAGCATAATCATTGTATTCTTTGTCTTTTACTGGGATTTTTATTAAATATAGAGGTAAATTTATAAATAATATTGCATATAATTATCTTGCTTCAATTATTGCGATAATTAGATACCACGATAATTTTAAATAGATATTACTCCAAGTAATAAGAAATTATTTTAAGCCGTATACTAATCATAAGATACTATCGAATATTTAATATATGTATGTAACTTAGCTTCGCAACTGCTATTAATAATAACACTAATAAGTGTAACTTGGAGTTCTCGCTCGGAGGAAATTAATAATTTTTAATAGTACCGCGAGAATTTACATTGGGTGTCATTTAATAATAGTAATTTTTATCTTTTTCTTAATTAAAAATCCACGATTAATATTTAAAGATCTGAAAGTAGTATCGCATTATATATCATTAAAATTATCACTGTGGTTATATATTCAGATCAGGTGAATATATAAATAATATATACTTTATTTCTGAGGGTTTCATTATCTAAATGTAACTGTGAATTGATAAATTTATTTTATTTTAATAATAATTTACTGTTAAATTCATTTTAATTAAATGCGTACCGTATATTTTTAATAATTATTTCTTATATTATACATTTAAAAATACAACATTGTTTCAATTTTTTTATTTCATTAATTATTAATTTACTCCATCTTATCTGGTATGCGATAGGAAACAGCTTAAAAACAACCATGACTAATTAAAACTGACGCCCTTCTCAATTTCCTCATAAAAATTCTCAGAATTATAATGATAGATACAAAAAGTAAAAAACAACTCGAAACTCGAAACTCGAAGCTTATCACCATATTATCCAAAAATATATGAAGCTGGCTGGGCTTCCTGTTCGTTCTCATGCCTGTCTGCCCTTAATAACTTTGTAGACAGATTCTGGATGATTGAGGTTGTGATATCTTCCCATTAGGTTAATTACATCAATAAGATAATGAAAAAAAAAAAAGTTAATACTTTTAAAAGTAATATAAGCTTATATTCACAGTGCGTCACTTGAATATTTGAATAGTTATTGCGATTATAATAATAATAATAATAATAAGTACCAAGTTTGTCAGTATGTTGTTTTTAACAAATCATTAGCCTGTTTTATTAGTTTCGCTTGGTTACTATTGACGTCAAACTGCGGATTGTCGACGTCAACACTGTGAATATAGAAGACTTTGATGATCAGAATGCTTCCTGCTATTCTATTCCAATTAATGAGCTTTTGTTTTAAAGAGTTATTAACTAAAGCTTACAGTGTATCACGTCTTAAACCAAAAATAATATCTGGGCTTATTATAATAGTTTCATCAAAAATCATCATTTCAAGTTTGCACTTAATAATACTTTCTCACAACACCACAAACATCAATTGTCTTCAAATTTATTAAATTTTTTTAATATAATCATAAATACGATTTGCTTCAACTTCATTATCATCAAATTAAATGATTACACTAAAAACTTATTTATTTCTTTAAAAGACAATGACAATGACGTCCCTTTTATTACGTTGAGCCCCAGGTGAAGCTATTCGTAGAATAAAATCAACTCAAGTGATTAATTAGCTTGTTTTTCGATTGATATGCTTTAATTAGACTTTATGACGTCAAAACACTACTAGGAATATTAGAATAACAAAAATACTTCAAAGACCAAAAAAATATAGAAATTAAAACATATAAACATAGAAAATTTATATCATATATCTATCTATAAATATTTTTTTTTTTTTCGTGGGAAAAGTAGATGTGAGTTGAACTTTTCAAGGAAATTTTTAAAAGCATAAAAAAATAAAAAAAAAAAAAAAAAAAAAAAGAAAATACAAAGATGAACCAACAACGCAAATTTTATTCACCTTGGCCCACATAACCAATTTCTATAAATTGGTTAATTTAAAAATGAACGTAGCCTATAATTTTCTCGTAAACAAGATAATGGTTAAAAATAGAAATTAGTCCCTGCTGACGGAACGAATAGAAGTAAACAACTGAATATATTACTATCATATCAAAAGCTATCGATGACAGAAATGAAAAGAAAAAAAAAAAAAAAAAGAATAAATAAAAAGTTGACTAGTTATAGGTTAAAGTGAAAATAAAGTGGCTGAAATTATCGTACCGCTGTCATCATTATCTATCATTATTGTAGTTGTTGTTATCACGTCCGATCTATAAATATTTATTGATCTTATAAATTATACCCAGGGTTGACTTGTCTTGACTTGTTCATCGAAATTTACACCGTAAAGGAAAATAATAATAATAATAATAATAATAATAATAATAATAATAACACACCATAATAGTATATACATGCGTATAAAATGAGTTATTAAGTGTTGGAATATAATTAAATGGAATTGTAATATAAAAGGTAACACATGTGTAGGTTGACTCGACTATCAAATAATCGTTTGATAATACAAAAGTTTACGTAATAATGTCACTAGATAAAAATATAAATACAAATTTTATCGCCGACGCCAAGTTAATAATAAATTATTTAGTTAATAACAGCAACCGGAGACGGTCTGCAGCCAGACTGACAGACGTGTATGTAATTACAATTATCAATTAAGCCAGAGTTAATTATTATTAGAAGGCTAGAGAAAGAGTGAGCAGGAATGAAGACGTTTAACTATTAGGAAATGGGTCAAGGCGGCGAAATTACTCGTATCTGTCTTCGTCTCTTACTCGGTGCTTTTTTTATCCTCTGTTTTTTTCCTTCTGCTGTCAGTTAGGTGTACTTGTTGTGCGACAACAAATTGCATAACGAGTTACAGCTTTACGACGCATCGCAATAGTCATTATCGGTGACGTGGACGTTGAACGGTCGCCAGGTCGCATCTCTGCAAGAAATAAACTAACGTGAGTTCAGAGCCGACGACAAAATCAACATCATCATCATCATCATCATCATCATCATCATCATATCACACACATACAATGTACCATCTAAAATTATATTAATAGAATTTTTCTTTTGAACCAAGTTTACTTTTTTTCAATGCAATAAATTTAATTAAATTTTTAAATGTTATGATTGTGATCCTTGAATAATTATTAATTCAGCTGAGGCAAAAGCAATCATGTCGTGATTTGGGCAAGACGAGCTTTAATTGAGACATTACCAGATGTTCTTGGGAAAATTACTCAAGGAGGTAAACAGCACAAGGATTGTATTGTATATGCACGCGCGACTAGGGGCTTATTCCTACTTTTGTTCTATTCGTACTGTTATGTTACGTTATGTTGTGTTATATTATGTGTAAGATGATGTCACCCGAACAGTAATTACCAAAGTTTCTAATGGTATGTATGTAGGACATAATAATATGCCAGTACATTTATGCATGCATTGTTATTAAATATAAAATTTGATTGTAGTTACATAAATTACATAATTATTTATTTTATTTTGCGATGTCCTGATAAAATTGGTACGTAAAAAAAAAAAAAAAAAAAAAAAAAAAAAAATACTTAATACGTATACGTAAAAGATAATAATACTTTACATTGCTCACTATACTCACCAAAGCTTGTATTATTTTGATAAGAGTGTAATAAGAATAAGAATAAAAGATAAAATTAGGTGAAACGATAGAAAAAGACAATTAATTTCAAATGCAACGTTTTATTATATCAATGATTTCATAATTCGTAAATATAACAAGTTACAACAGAGAATTATATTTTTTTTTATTTTGGTGTTTGTATACGACAGTTGACGCTTGATCTAACGTGTAACACGCTTAACGATTTATTTATCATCATAATTATAATTTTAATCTTTATTAATTATTTGTTATTTAATTGTTACAAATTGGTGCGTTATCATTTATTATTTATAATATAATAAAACTGTTTCGTGATTTCGTTCTATTCCATTTGATATTTCTGTTTGATGATAGATTAACCATACATAAACGTTTTTTTTTTCTTGCTGTTGCCTCGATTAAATAGAGAAAATGGTCAACCAGAGGCGGTCGTGACCGAGAGAGTTTAAAGAGTTTCCTGTGGGCAACCAGCCAATAATGGAAATCCATCGTGGCTTCTTGTAATCCGTATTATACTCTCTGATATTGTATCCGGCAAAGACCTCTGCCTTCTTATTCTTCTCCTTTGGGGCAAATGTTTATCACTTTTGTCATTAAGTCGCAATAAACCCCCAGAGCCTCGTTTCATTTCATTATTTAAATAATTTTTAATTTTTCCTAAACTTTAGAAAAATTTTTTTTAGTTCATGACTCGGGCACTTGAGCTCTATTTTATTAAAAATGCTTTAAGCCAGATTATAATTTCCGATGAAATAATTATCTTTGATGAAAAATTTTTAAGGAATTAATATTTTCAATCACTAAAATAGTTAGTTATAAAAATAAAAATAAATTTTGCTTTAGAATTTTCCATTTACAATAATAAAAATTTATAAAAAATTTCGCAACATTACGAAATGTTCGGAATAACAGGAATAACCTCTATAAGCATCTATAAGACAGTTCTCGAATCCTGTCAAATGGAAGTAAATAACTAAAATAATGAGCAGTTCTATACATTATTATTATTATTATTATTATTATTATTATTATTATTATTATTATTATTATTATTCATGGTTGATGTCTTACGTCAATTAAACTTTGTTTACAGCTGAGTCATTTTTCGCCCAAGTATTCTCCGCGTAATAACTTGTAGGCTTAGATGAGTACAAGCTATAACATACCATGTATACACAACATCATATAACGTATATCCACGAGTTGAAATGCCATATTAAAAGATCTTACCGAGACATATAATGCACAACATACACCCATTAGATATTATAAAAAGTGGGAAGAGAATTGAGGGCACCAGAAATAATGGTGCGTAAAATAATAATATATATAACATCGCCCTTTTCACTAAAAATTAAATTTCAGCCGACTCACGTCCTGGATATTATATACACTAATACACAGTGTATTATATTTTCTATAGTAGGTCTAGGCGTAATCGGTGCTTCCACGCATGTGCACCACTTCGTAAACATAAACATAAATATGTAAACAAACATTGCATAATATGACAGACACTTTTATTTTACCTAGCTATACGTAACAAATGTAGCCTCGAAAAATAGACCAGGTAGATTACTGATTATATACACGAACAACTACTACACACTACGTTACATATATTTATGGAAAAATTCTATTTACTCGTATTATGTTGATGGGTATCTAATCAGGAGTATTTACAATGCTAACCTGTGCAAAAAATTTTTTTTATTATTAAATTTCTAAAAAAAAATACATCAAAGTGTTGAAGTTAGTCATAGGTCGAAACTCGCAAAAACCGGGCCACGATTCATTATTACAAAATTTTTTTTCCAAGAGTACCGTAATTCTACGAGCGTATAACTTGACTTACTTTTGCTACTACTACTAATACTATTATTATTATTATTATTATTATTATTATTATTATTATTATTATTATTATTATTATTATTATTATTATTATTATTATTATTACTATTACTACGATTCCCTCAAAAACTGTAATCCCCAAATCTAACTTGACCCTCTTTTCGCTTAATACAGGAGGGATTTTTAAATCTCATGCCTCAGAATACAAAATCGATATTTTCCGTATAGTCAATTACTTGACTAAAAAATTTTCTTTATAAATATTAAAACTGTGAAATATTATTAACAACTACCGCTGAAATTTTTAAATTCGATATGGATGTAATTTTTTGACATGATAACACAAATTAGGCACGGGTTTGGGTGAAAATATGGCGTGACTAATTTATTTTACTGTTTATCAATTGTATATTACGGGGATATTAAATTAATGATTTTAGGATAGATAAGATACATTGATGCATTTGGAGTAAATGAAAGAATTTTAGGGGAATTAGGTCGAAAACTGAAGAAAAAATGGATACATTATGGAAAATAAAATAAAATAAATCAGAATTCATTAAATTCAAGCACTGATAAAAGAATTTATTAATTTATTTTAACGTACGACAACTCCTCACGTGGAAAAATTACCAATAAATTTTATCTACTGGCAATAAAAGTTTTAAAATATCAATAAATTCATTTTTATAAGTGTAAAAATAATGGAAACATTATTAATTCAGGAGAGTAAATAAATAAATGTAACATCAATACTCCGGTGGAGTATTGAGGATCTTCTTCAGCTCGGACTGATATTTATGAATAGAAAAGTGAGGTTAAACTGTCTATGTCAGAGCAGAGTACTACCAGCGGACGGAGTAATTTCTCGCGGTGATGCGGTGAACCGGAAGTCCGCTATTATGTAATGCAAATGTCAATTTCCGGGGGGACATTGTACATGTCCGGTAGATATCGGCGGCGTTACTACGAGTATTTGCTCTCTTTATTTTGCTCCTTTTTGATTATCATAAATCATAATAATTATAAATTTATATTTATTTATTTATTTATCGGTGGAATGGAAAAGTAGCCAAGTATAGTTTAAGTAGCATGTTCTCCATTCTTTAGAGATAGAGTACCTCTATGTAAGTATGTACTGTAAGGGGAATAAGGATTGGACATATATATACTACATTGAGAAAGCCCATGGAAGGATAAAAATTGGTGGTAGGCGTCTTCCAACATATACCTTATTCCCATTGATACCCACACGGTCATTCATGAATCCAGAGACCGTGAGAGGAAATGACTACGTGGTGCGTTTCACTTACGATATACATATATGTGAGAAATGGTGTGTAGGTGCAACCACTCAACTTTGCTCACCATATATGTACACAGGAGACACTCAGTGTCTACCTACGCTTACGACCGCATTTTTTATCCGCTCATACATATATTTCTTTCGCACGGTACTTCCGGTGCATCCGTCACTCACGTCTCGAGGAGCTAATTATCTACCTATCTGACTCATTCATTTACTATTGTGTTGGATTGTACAACTTATTTTAATTCACCTTTTTATTTATCTCAATCTCCATTAATGCAATCACACATCTTTCTCATTCTCCGTTTTTTCTTTTTACGGTTTATTTACATCTGTTACAATTAATGTATTAGACAGTATTGGGCAAGAAAAAATTTTTTAATACTTTTATTAGCTATTATTTATTTATTTTATAAATTTCAAAGTTTCTGAGCAAAAAAATCGGGGTAATTATTTGTTGTTTTTTGTGCCTGAACCGAGAAACGTTTCTCAATTATTTTATTCCTAGAGCTTGACGTTATTTAGCGTCGGATTCGGTTTCAGGGTATTTTTAACTCAAACCTAACACCAGAATAAATCCACTGGAATTTGTCGGATAAATTAGGAGCAGTTAAATCTAGCGGACGCTACTGGTGTGTCCTCAATTCGTTTGTGTCTTTACACTCATTTATTTTACTGCTCTCATGCTCATAAAACCGCTATTATTGTATCTTCTTGTATATAATATTGTATTGTAGATTTTGTTTTTATGACTGCAATCTATTCATGAAATTATTAAGATGCTTGTAGTCATTAGAGATCTCAACGAATTCAACTTGCTGAAGAATCTCCAAACAGTTTTTTTTTTTTACTATTTTGATTTGTGGTGGGTTGTAAATTAAATTCATTTTTATGGCCAAATTTTACATCTGGGATACTTTTATTTAAGAGGTTTTAACAGGTTCAAGTATTTTTTAAGTTATTATGGTGATTTATTTTCCAAATTTACATTTAAATAGTCTAGAAAAAAAAATTTTTTTTTTGTCGGAATTATTAAGAAAAAGACAGCGAACTTCTAAAAAAAAAAAAATGACGCGCATATTTGGTTATAGATTTTTTTTGGAATAAATTAGTTTCAATTTTCTCATTTTATTTAATTGTTATAATTTTTGATAGACCCCCCATTAAAGCCCCTTCAGAATTTTTTCAAAATATTTAAAATTTATAATAATAAAAAAAAGAAGATAATTGAAGAAAAAGTCAAAATAAAGACAGGAATTAACATTTTGTCCTGAAGAAAAATTTGGACAAGTTAATTCCGTCGGTATTAAAAAGATTAAATGAAATCTCTCTAATGCATTTAATTTATATATTAATACCCGTACTGTAAGATCTTTATTAAAATTATTTAATCAATTAATTAATTTTTTTCGGTGTTTGAATAGAAATTAATAAATGCAATCAAAAAGAAATGTTTAATTGTAAAAACGTGATTTAAAAAGATTTACGAGAAATGATATGCTGGAAGTTTAAATAATGCACTCATAACTAATTTGTGAGTTAAATAGTTAACATAAAACTTTAATTTAGCTGTCACAAAATATCAAGCAAACATATCTTTTCCCAGGATCATCATATGTTACATAAACGCACGATGACAGCGACTCATATATAAATATAAGCATGAATGAGAATATGACTCATCACACATAGCTTAAACGTAAAACTTATATATTTTATATCCGTTTGTGTTATTCAATACATCTGCATCTATGATTTTAAAAGCAATATTTTTATTTATCAGTCTGTTGGTTATTTTTACTCTATTATTTTAAACCCTCATTATGTACAGTAACACCCTAAAGAACCTCCATTTTAATATTGATTTCTTTATCATTTCATTTTATCTTATTTTGACTTGATTTTCTGTTAAAAACATCAGAGAGAGAGAGAGAGAGAGAGAGAGAGAGAGAGAGAGAGAGAGAGAGTGAGAAACCTTTTTTGTATATATATTAGAATTAAATTTGATTTAAAAAAAAATTTTCTACATGATTTCTTCCGTAAGATTGCTCTAAATAAACGTTAAAAAATGACAATATATAATAGGTTTTACAAGTGCAATAAATACTTGTTGATTTTTATTGCCTAAAATTCTTCAATCGTGGGCTGTATTTAGAAAGTCCCAAAAGAAAGATGCATTAGAAAGTGTTTTGCTATTACCAGCATAGCAGTCGACTCGACAGTCTGTCTGTCGGCATCTGTCGGCAATTATTCTCAAGTTGTTAATTTACGAGGGTGTTGACTTTTTTTTTTAAGAGGCTTTCAAAAATTTTTCTGGGCCTTTTCAGGTTCTAACTAAAATTCCAATCGTCAATGATAACCATTATTGGAAAATGATGGTCCAAAAAGATAAAGCTGAGTTTAAGAATTGAATATCCATGGATATTAGGAGACAAGTTTTCAAAAGTTGGCTTTCTATTCTTGACGCGCCTACGCTGCTAATTGTTAAGTATTACAAGTAAACAGCGATAATAACAGTGTGTCGGGTAACCCTAATTGCGTTTGTTGTTTTGTCGGCGACCATAGTGGCACCCACCGTCGCTTAATTCGGTGCCAGCTGGCCAGAATAATGGATAATTACTGTAGACCGTACCCAAGAGTACTGACTGAGTGTACTCTACAGAGAGGCTTAGTCATTTTTTTAAATCCTTCATTATTTTTTATTATTTTCTTTTTTTAAAAATTAATAGTTCAGTAGTTATCATTATTTTTAAGTGATATTAGATAATTATTTGGGGTTTACTTAAAAATTTTATTTCCTAAACAATATTAATAATAACCACCGTTGATGATGATGATGATGATAATAATAGTAACAACAACAAATATACAAGTTGGTTGTGAGGGTGCAAAATAAAGAAAAAATGTCAAGAAAATAATAAAAGAGAAAAGAAGAGAAGAGAAAAAAAAATCTAAAGAGAGGAGACTTGAAATGCGAATAACATCTGCCGGGCGCAACAATCTCCAACACCTGCTGTCTGGTAGTCGCGTGCTCTTACTGAAGCTACACCCC